TTTAAGCGAAATGTCATCAACTCAAATCCGCGAAATTGCAATTTTGAAAAATCGCGAAATTTTATAGTGTCGAAAGGACGATTCTCGGTTTGGAGAACGAAGTTCATCAATCTAAATGAGCATTATCCCTGCTTCGGACAAATTTGATTTTTTTACATAATATAGATTTGAATGTCCTCTTTTGAATAGTTATAATTTAATTTGGGTAATATTTCTAGATTTTTCTCAAAAAATATTAGCGCAGTACACTGATGGACTTCTTTCCCCAAATCGAGACTTGTATTTTATTAAAATCGGTCTATTTGAGCATTATCCCTGCTCCAGATCAATTTGATATTTTTACATCTTGTAGATTTAAATGTCCTCTTTTGAATATTCATAGTTTAATTTGGGTAATATTTCTATATTTTTCATGAAAAAAATATTAGCCCAGGAGACTGTTCTCCAAACCGAGAATCGTCCTTTACCCGGAGTACAGTAAATGAATTACATACCATTGTACACTCCCCTCCAAAAGTGTGTTAAAGTATGTAGTATATATTTATTATTAATTTGAAAAAATGGTTTTAGATACCAAAACAAAATTTCAAACACAAGGTTTTAGCATGCTATCCAATGAGAATCAGGTTTCCTAAACTATAGTTTTTGAGGGTAGAGTACATGTACATGCATGAAGCATGTGTTTTCTTTCTTGTCTAAGTCTGTATATATGAGTACAGAAGGGTTATGTACTATGAGGTTTTGGATACAGGGTTACCTGAGGTTTATATGTGTATTTCCCAATGGACAGCATGGCCTGAGGGAGATACATACATTTCACAAGGGGTAAACATCCAAAATCATCATACAGGGTGAGCCAAAAAAGGTATATTTATTTTATATTTGTAACTCTCCTTTGATTATGTATCAAGTTAACTCTTTTTTTATTCCAAATAACATATTTAAATGTACATTACAAAATATTTACAATCTGAGAGCTTTTCCGCTCTAGTTTAAAGACAATAAATTTCCTTCACAGTTCTTATATTTGAAATCATGAATACATGTACTTTTCTTAATAATGAATGTTTCATAAAATAAGTCTGGCTTCATAATTTTCCATTATCATTTAACTGGCTACCTTGCCATAAAATATTAAAAGAAAATGTACAGTTATATTTATTTTATATTTGTTAGTCTTATTTGGTTATGTAACAAGTTTGCTCTTGAATAAATGTATATCAGTATGTACATCGTACTATCCATCATTTAAATGTACAGTTATCTTGTTAGTCTCATTTGGTTATGTAACAAGTTTACTCTTGAATAAATGTATATCAGTATGTACATTGTACTTTCCATCATTTAAATGTACAGTTATATTTATTTTATATTTGTTAGTCTCATTTGGTTATGTAACAAGTTAACTCTTGAATAAATGTATATCAGTATATACATTGTACTTTCCATCATTTAAATGTACAGTTATATTTATTTTATATTTGTTAGTCTTATTTGGTTATGTAACAAGTTTGCTCTTGAATAAATGTATATCAGTATGTACATTGTACTTTCCATCATTTAAATGTACAGTTATATTTATTTTATATTTGTTAGTCTCATTTGGTTATGTAACAAGTTAACTCTTGAATAAATGTATATCAGTATGTACATTGTACTTTCCATCATTTAAATGTACAGTTATATTTATTTTATATTTGTTAGTCTCATTTGGTTATGTAACAAGTTTACTCTTGAATAAATGTATATCAGTATGTACATTGTACTTTCCATCATTTAAATGTACAGTTATATTTATTTTATATTTGTTAGTCTCATTTGGTTATGTAACAAGTTTACTCTTGAATAAATGTATATCAGTATGTACATCGTACTATCCATCATTTAAATGTACAGTTATCTTGTTAGTCTCATTTGGTTATGTAACAAGTTTACTCTTGAATAAATGTTTATCAGTGTACATTGTACTTTTCATTATTTGAAATTACAGTTATATATATTTTACTGTAAACATTAACTTGCCCAAGTGGGTATTTTTTAATTATCTGATCTTCAACTGTTACCGCTGTCATAATAGAAATCAAGATAAGTAAAAAAGACCGACTTGGGCAATGTTATGTACATTCGTTATTCTTATTTAACAAGTTTACTATTTAATAAATGTACAAGGGTCGTTTGAAAAGTCACCATTTTCATCATACTTTCCATCATTTAAATGTCCAGTTATCTTCAGTCTTATTTAGTTACATGTATGTAACAAGCTTATTCTTGAATAAATGTCAGTTCACTGTGTACATTGAGCAGATGCTCTTTGTCCATGTGCTATTTGAGACATCAAAAATTACATTTTTTATGTCCCCACCACATAGTGTGGGGCCATATTGTCGGCTTGGGCACGTCCGTCTGTATGTCCGTCCGTACGTCCGGCAGTTTTCTCCAAAACCACTACAGATTTCACCTTCAAATTTTCAGGGATAACTTATGAGTGCATACAGATGTGGATGAAAAATATTTAACTTGAAACCTACATGAACTTCCTGTTAGCCATTTTGAAGTCAAATGCTAAAATCCTTGCCTGCAGACTTTAAGAAAAATGGCTTTAAATCTTGGTCAGCTCACTTCATTCTACATCTGATTAGGTTTTGGACCTGTTAGCTCCGTCATGTCAGCCATTTTGAATGTCTTTAGAAAAGTTAGCGGGCAATAATACTTTGTATCATATTGAATGGTGTTTTTGAGTTTTCATTCTTTAAATATTTAGTAGCTTTATAAATAATTTCAGGTGTACTTTGTTGTAAAAGCCTATCTTATTGTTAACAGTAGTTATATGTGATAATTGTAAGAAGAAATCAGCAAAAACTCATAATCACTTTTTTATTTTCGGCCATTTTGGATTTTTCCATCCTAAAATCTTGTCTGTAAAGTCTTGTCTACACGTTTTTAGGTGAACCGTTTGGTAGATCAATTTCAAATTTTCAGGGATGATTCTTAGTCTGAAAATCTCGATCTGATTAGTTTTTCACATTCTGGGTAAATGTCAAGGCAGCCATTTTGGATTTTCTTTGAAAATTTGAAAATCTAGAACTGAATTAAACTTTTGGCATTCTGGGTAAATTTTGAGGTGGCCATTTTGAATTTTCCGTCCCAAAATTGTGTCGGTAAAGTCTTGTCTACTCATTTTTAATAACAATAACTGTTCTATAGATTAAACTTTAAGTTAATCCAGAAATGCACATGGATGAGCTTATATAAATGCAATAGGCCAACTATACTTTATAGTTTAGAAGAAAAAAATAATCACTGAAACATGTTACACTCTCCCTCAAATATGAAACAAAGTTTGATTTGTTTAACATGGGATCTGCCATTTTTGTTAAATTTCATGAAATTCATCAATTTTGTCATCAGATTTTGACCCAATGTAATGGAGATATAACATTGAAACGTTGCGGACTTTATAGCGAATAGAATCAAGATACAGATTTATTTACTTGGGATTTCTTTTGTTCCCCGCTTAGAAAACAGTCGTTAAACAAATATGGGGGTTAAGGTACAGCTGGAAAGTAACATTTTGGTAATAAATTGCTATACCTGCACATGTTATTTTCTGCTACAAAATAAAGTATGAAGGCATGTGTCAATTTCCTTGCTTTTTTCAGGAAAGTATCATTACATTGTCTTCTTTTAGAATATCTGGTAGGCGTTCAATGGGACCTCCAGGAAATTCTGATATTTCACACTTTCTATTTTTCCAAATTTTCTTTCAAAGTTTCCAGACAACACAGGAGCTACCATTGACCTGTTTCTAGATATTCTAAAAGAAGACAGTGTAATGATACTTTCCTGAAAAAAGCAAGGAAATATACACATGCCTTCATACTTAATTTTGTACCAGAAAATAACATGTGCAGGTATAGCAATTTTTTACCAAAATGTTACTTTCCAGCTGAACCTTAACATGTAAACCTATGAGGTCCTTAACTTTTTTTGAGGAGTATATTTCCTTTTGAAAATAATCTGTGATTCAAAATTGAAACTCACTCTCGAATGCAATTACTTTTTAAGTATTACTAGTATCACATGAGGTGAAACGTTTTTTTAGGAAGGGGCCTGAGCATAACATTTTACCAAGGAATTTTTATTTATCCCAAAACATTATGCAAATGAAAATACTTACTCGGGAATAAAGCATCCGTTTCTCTACATGCAAACGAAAATACTTAACGCATGATTAAAGCGTCTGTTCTACATGAAAATGAATATACTTAAAGGCCCAATTTGCGTATTTTTAACGTTTTTGGGCAAAATAAAGACTTCCAATTTGAATTTCATAGTATATCCAATGTATTGATAAGAACCGTATCTTTCATTTGACACCAACAACAGCTCAAACGGACCACATCAAAGCTTACAATAAATTTTCAAAATACATTTTTTATCTGTCAAGCTTTATATATCAAGTTTTTATCATTTTCATTGAAAGATGGCAAAGTTGTTGGTATTACATGATAAATTCATTTTTATAGAAGTGTCGCCATCGTTTAAACTGTTAAATGAACAGTGAAACATGCACTTTTTTTAACATGTGCATGCACTTCTAATGATCTCTGAACTTCAAATGCTTTTTTCTATGTGCGTTATTTTTTCTTGGTTCAATATTAAAGCAAAACAAACTTTGTGTCATATTTGAGCGAGTGCGAGTAACATGTTTCAGTAAATTATTTTTTATTCTAAATTAAGTAATTAAGTACCTTTAACGTCGGACTAAAACGTCTGTTTCTCTATATGCAAATGGAAATACTTCACGCAGGACTAAAGCGTCTGTTTCTCTACATGAAAATGAAAATACTCCACGCAGGACTAAGCGTCTGTTTCTCTAAATGCAAATGAAAATACTTAACGCATGACTAAAGCGTCTGTTTCTCTACATGAAAATGAAAATACGAAAATACTTAACGCAGGACTAAAGCGTCTGTTTCTCTAAACGCAAATGAAAATACTTAACGCAGGACTAATGCGTCTGTTTCTCTATATCCTCTTGATCTGATGCTATGGGAACGTAACATACATTGTCCGGCCTTTCGCTTGTAGATTATGAAATAAATTGCAAGAGCTATGAGAATTGCTAACAGCACTAATGACACCACTACACCTGCTATCATTCCGGTATTTTGTGATTCGCTTGGTTTACCTGTGTCATTATTTGATATGTTGGTTGTTGGTTTTGTGTTTACTGATGGTGCTGGTAAAGTTGAAACAGACATTGGTGTTACTGTTGGTACTGATACTATCTGTGCTCGTTTTGGTACTGATGTTGTAAGTGTTGGGATCCATTCTGATTCTATCATTGCTGACGCAAGTGGTGGTGTTGGTGCAGATTTTGATAATGACGTTGTGAGAGCTTGTGATGGTAATAATGGCGATAATGCTTGTGTTGATACTGACATTGCTACTACTTGTGTCGGTACTGAAGTCAATAATTCATGTGTTGGCTCTGACGTTGCGAGTACTCGTGTTGGTAATGACGCCGGTAATCCTTGTGTTGCTACTGACGTTGCTTCTGCTTGTGTTGCTACTGAGGTCAATAATGTTTGAGTCGATACTAACACTGATTCTGACGTTGGTCCTGTATGAGTTGTTAGTCCAACAGTTGGTTGAGTTATGGTTGTTGGTGTTATTGACTCATTTGGGACTACACTGCATGATGCTACATCTGTTGCCTTACACACTTTACCAGTTGGTGGTTCTTCTGCTACAGAGGGGCTGCTACAATTTGTTATTTGGATATTCTGACAATTATTAAGAAAACTTTCCCATTCTTGAAATCCTGATACAGTTTTATCCGATAAGCAATTACTTTTGTAATAACTGCGACTTAACCATTTTCTCAGCCAAATATATGAACAATTACACGGGATGCTGTTATAGGAGATGTAAAAATCGTTCAGACTTGTGAACGGGTTCATCATACAGAGGTCAATGCTTTCAATTTCATTACTTCCAAGGTTGAGTGTATTTAGTGTGTTTTCAAGGCCTACCAAAGCATTATCATCTATGTTAGTGATTGTTCCACCCTGGAGCAACAATTTAGCAAGTGATGACAAGCCAGTGAAAGCATTAGCTGAGACGTTCCTGAAAAAGTTATTACGCAGGTCTAGTATTTTCAAACTACTTAGACGATTCAGGGCATTAGAGGGGACTTCTGTGAGGAAGTTGAACCCCAAGTTCAACACTTCAAGTGTGCATTCCAACCCGACAAACGCATCAATGGAATTAGCTATAACTAATTCATTACGAGATAAGTCAATGTTTTTCAATCGTATGTTGCTCGTGAAAGCACCCGAAGGAATCGATTTAATATAGTTATCTGACAGTATCAACACCTCAAGGGACTCCAAGACACTTAATGCTTGAGTGGGTACAGATCTCAAGCCATTTCCTTGCATCTCTAGATTTGTCAAACAGTCCAGTCCTTGAAAAGCTTGATTTTCAATTGTTTCAATCTTGTTCTTGTTCAGGTTAATCCTACGTAGCTGTGTAAGACCTTGGAACGTGTTATTACTAACGACAGAAATGGAATTGAAATCCAATAATATTTCCTGCATTTTTGAAAGTGTTAGGATACTCGCTGGTATTCTTTCCAAGTTATTGTGAGTTAATGTTAAATTCTGAAGTGTAGCGTTCAGAGAATCAAATGCGTCGTTGGGGGCCTGTTCTATTCGGTTATAAGCCAAACTTAATGAATTAATGTTTTTCTCTGGTGGGGGATGCAGCTTCTTTAGTATTGTATCGCTGATATTAATACAAAGTACTTCAGTGTGACCCCCCACTGATTTACATTTACACGTGTATTCCCCAATTTGACAAGTCTCTTTGGCCTCTTGGCAAAGCCCAGAGATCACCGCACCCGTGAAGACTAACATGGATAGTGCTGTTGAATACATCGTGTTGACCTGTAATGTAAAGGAAAGATTATAATATATGCCAATATATCTTAAAGTATATGGGTGTGTTAACGTACTAGCTGTCGTATTGAATTGGGCTACCAAGTGGTCATTCACCATCCATTTACTCATACGATTGTGTGCACCGTAAAGCAGAGGAGACCGTAAATTAATATATAAGTACTGTACCCTCAGCATAGATGGTTAGGGTGTCCGAAAGCCAATACTTATAAATATAGAAAGTCAATATATTGTCTTTTGAAATTAAAGCCCATTGTATTTTGATTTCTTTACATATTGCATACGAGGTGAAGAAGTTTTAATTATTCAGAACAGAATGTTATGTCCAAGTTTATTGATTAAATTATATATCATGAATTCAATATTTCAGGGTTGTTGCTTAGGATGACAAGTACAGCTTCTCGTCTTTAGAAACTATGTCATTGAGTACAGCTTCTCGTCCTTTAGAAACTATGCCATTGAGTACACGCAGATTTCTCCAACTTTGGAACTCAATTTTGGTACTGATAAAACTAATTTAACAAGGGATCTCAATTTAGTTAATTTCAACAGTTGTGACTATCATGTTCAAGTTCAAGGAATTTCTACATATGTATTTGATTACAATCAGAACTTTATTGGTTTTCATAGCGACATATTGATTCAACTTGATTTAGCTATCGAAAACTTATCGATTTCGAATTAATTTTGTCCGCCATTTTGGATGAGACTAACTCCATTTAGTTCCATCCTGCTGTAGACCACTGATGACTAAAGACTTGAAAATAGACTCAAAATAAATTGATAGGCCCAGTGTTCAAATCCACAATAGTCAGTACCCGGGAGTCAGTAGTCTATTCCTCGGCACAGGTTTAACAGTCAACAGACGCTGTCCAATGCATGAAAATATTCGTTTATGCATTTTGACTTGAATGCGCATAATTTTACGAACATGTATGCAATGTATACAGCCATGTAAATATATACGTTTCCATCCGAAAATATAAAGTATCTGTTACCTTTTCTTTCAAAAATGAGATGTTTGCAGCTCAGCATGCACATGTATTAAACCAATGGAATCGAACGATAGCCAATTCATTCGCCGTATCGTGTTGCGGCTATCCTAAGTATTTCTTTTTGATGTGTTTAGATTCAAACCGCCTTCTTTTCTTTTATGATTTTCAAAAATGAGTATGCTTACGTTTATGATCGTAATACGTTACATTTAAGTTGTTTACTATGTTTACATCCTTTTTACGCCCCGTCGAGTTACCTTACGATTGCGAAAATACTTTTTCAATAGATGTTTTGAGAAATTTCGAGCTTTTAGATTCGGTGTACATCCTGGTTGTGTTATAGGGAGATATATTCTTAAATCACATATGACAAACTATCAGAGATGCCAGTCAGTCGAGTTCCAGTTTTGTCTTTGTAACAGTCACACAATTAATACCTTACTATTCATTTACAGCAGCCTATATGCATGTATGTTGATGGATTGCCAACTTTTTGTGTACGGTGTTCGGCGGTCGGCGTCTGTAACAAATGGTAGGTTGTGACATTTTGCGTGTTAATGCCTTGTTATATCTTGACTTTCTAAAATATTCCAAATGAATATATGTTTCTGATTGGTATATCGGGTCGGATTTTCAAAAATGAGTGTGCGGTAACCACAATTCAAAATATCTGTCAGATCGAAATGGAAATAACTAAAAATCAGAATAAGAATTTGACAGATTTTAAGATTTAAGAAATAAAATCGGAAAGATTTTTTTTCATAATTATGTTCATGTTCAAGTTGTCTCAAATAAGAGAGATTTACTTCTCTGGTGAAACTGACGAATCCCGTCCGATCAAAGATCTCAATTTTAATCCATTATTTCTTAAAGGCAGAATCAGATCTAGCAACTACTCATTAGAATCATCATCATCATGATCTCGACGGAAACTGTTTTAGTTTTAGAATATTTTGGGCTCACACCATTCCTTGTAAATGTCATGTCTATTTTCTAAAAATGTCCGAAGTAACTTTGAGGAAAACTAGAGATTTTTACAGTAATGTATTCAATTGTCTATAAAATGTTTTGTCAATTTCTCAATTGTGCATCAAAGTACGTTCATTATGATTACTAGTATCTAAAAAAAAACAAAAAAAAAACAATGCATTACCTATGTACTATACAAGTACATATTCGTTTGGTGAATCTTTGAATGGGTAAAAAAGATGATATTATTGTATCTACTGAAATCCCCCTAATTAAGTGTATTGTTTTTGTATGATATTTTCAAGTTGAATTGTTCCTCGTACTCCGGATTTCTTAGAGACCAGAGACAGAGTCACGGTTTCAAAATAGGCAAAGCTATATTTAATGTTTGTCATCACGGCATTTCAAAAATGTCTCTATGTGCTTTCCTCTTGAAGAAATGAAAGTATGGTTTAATGTTCTTGGTAAAGCCGAAGGTTGGAGCTTAAAACACTGGGCAGACGGAGCTATCTTTTTATGAAGCAAAATCAAACCTGAAACTATATTGGAGGGGAATTCTTAATTATTATGAATAGTCATAGCTTTTGTGCTGATATAAAGATGGCAGTTAAGTGATTGTTTCCTATTGACTGCCATGACATCTTTTTGTGAGCACACTTTCTATCGCCCAGAGGGGAAAAAACCCTGAGTTAAAATATGACTTATGCTTACATTTACTAGTATTGAGATGACATACATATCTCTGATTGGCCAAAAACGCCAAACAAATGACGCCATCAATGGCTGCTTCAAAAGTTTTGAAATATGCTTCAAATAATATTATGTTCATTTCTGATGTGTTAACCAATATCATAGCTTGAAAATTCAGAGAGGAGGTACAGGATCTAAATACAATACTACATTTTAAATGCAAAAGAACCATTGTCTTGTCTTTATATGGCTAATATAGAATACTCCAGCAAGAAGGGGTGAAGCCTGTGTGAAACCACTCATGAAATTAGTGTATGGCATTTTGAAAAAGAACAAAACAGTCAACATTTGAATTTTAATAGTTTTCTTAACATTATTCATATTTTCACATACGTGGCATCAATCTCGTTGATTTGTAAGAAATAGAATTGTGAAAGGGTTACATACAGCAACCTGATACCTGATTGAAACCCACTATACACACTGCATAAACCCAACACAGTCCAGCAAGATGGTTAGCAAGATGGTTGAGTTGTTAAATTGTGGCAGTATATTCACCAAAATTTTGTTTTATCACTATTTCTTTTCTTTTATCTTAATCAAGATTTTTTCATCCAGATTTTTATATTTTTCAATGCCACAATTTTTGCTGAATTGCATAGGCTTTACACAATGTGATATGGTATACTATTTGAAATGTAAAACTAGTCTAAAAAGTTGTTTAACAGTATCAGTACAAGGCACGGTCACAGAAAATGCTGGCCAATTAAGTAGAATAGTACCATGGGTACTGGGCTCACATGGTGTTATTCAAAAGTGATTGATGGCTAAAATGGCAGAAAATAAAAAAATGGATGTTATTTTTGCCGATTTTTTGTAACAAAATTATTTCATATAACTACTCTTTACAGTTACATGGCTTTTTACAATGCAGGACACCTAAAATTATTTGTAAAGCTAGGAAATGGGCCACATGTGAATTTCGTAAGACAAAAAAATGGTGACCATTTTGAAAATAGGCGAGCTTTTGAACCAGGAGAGGACAAATCAATGGACAAATCAATGTTAACTAAAATGGCTGAAAATAAAAAAACGGATAAAATTTTTTGCCGATTTTTTGTAACAAAATTATTTCATACAACTACTCTTTACAGTGACATGGCTTTTTACAATGCAGGACACCTGAAATTATTTGTAAAGCTAGGAAATGGGCCAAAATTGAAATTTGTGAGACAAAAATGGCGACCATTTTGAAAATAGGCGAGCTTTTGAACCAGGAGTCATAAGGGAGTTTTCTGTATTGATGTTGAACAAAAATAACTGAAAACAAAAATCTTATTGACACAGGTTTTAAAGCAAATGGTCCAAAAGTGAATTTCGCGAGACAAAAATGGTGGCCATTTTGAAAATAGGTGAGCTTTTGAACTAGGAGTCATAGGGGGTTTTCTATATTGATGTTGAACAAAAATAACTTAAAATGGGAATCCTATTGACAGAGGTTTTAAAAGTGGCAAATTGTTGACAGACAGACGGACAGACAGAGTGAGTGATTGCAATAGCTCACCATGTGAGCTAAAAAGTCCAAATTGAAACATTTCTTAGACTGAACATTAGACTGACACATTAAAACATGTAAAACATTACATTAAACGAGAGTGTAATTATCATAGAATTCGTAAATTTACATCTGAAATCAACTCCTACTACAATGTAGTTCCAAAGTGGCCCAAATATGTAAAAATAAAGTCTAATGTGAGACATAACAAAATAAAACTGTTTTAAAATCAATGAAATACAAGTAATTGTAAACAACCTGTGGTAAGAGTGCCCCCCTGGTCACGATGATTACTTTGTTTAAATATGATCTCTCAAAAGGATAAGTTGTACTTAATGAACCTCATAATGGATCACAAGTTTAAGGAAAAATTATCGCAATTTCACAATTCATTTTTTCTTTCATCATTTCATGTCTGATGCTTATTTTCTAAGACTCCAACAGTTTATTTCAGGATTCCTTTGCTTTTAATGGTTATCTGTCAAAATAACTGAAACTGAAGGGGACATTTCAGCATTTTTGATCTTCAATAACTGAATTGTTAACACATGACCAGGGTAACAAGTTAAAGTTGGATTAAAGGAAGTGTGTTATCAACAGGGAGAGTGCACTCTCCTATCACTCTCCTACACAGAGCATTCTCCAGTGCATCAAACACAGCAACATTTTACAACCACTGGAAGCCAACATTCAGGAACTCCTTAAAATCATTTGTTTTTTACTATGACACCATTACGGTATGTCCATAATTACAACAATGGATTCAGTTTTTTGGGGAGACATTATATTGCCTGATGGTGGATAAACTAAGCCATTTTCTCTTATATGCCAGTAAAGGTTAACTTCTCAACATAACAGAAGTCATACACATGATTTATTTTTTCAAAGTGTTAGTATAAGAGCCTTAAACAAATGTGTTATTAAAGGGGAAACAAAGACTATGGATGGGGAATTACTTTCAAATACTTCTTAAATAGCAGATGAAGACGCTCTGTGTAGCAGCATATATAGGATAACAATGGCACGTAATTAGATAATTCCATCTCTTAACACCAGATGTAATATATGAACAGTGGCTACAGCCATTCATATGTGATATTAATTTAATATCTTTAATCTGGTTTAAATTTTATAAAATAATATCTGAAGTGTAAATGATATAATGTGCACCTTAAATAACTTATTCAGATTTCTCTTCTAGTTACATTAAGGATAGCCCTGAAATTAAACCAATTATCGACATTTACAATGTTTTCTTGTGGTTATGTTCTTGGCTGTCCATACTTTTGTGTAGAGATTTTGAAAAAAGAGAAAGACACAAATTGTGGCAAAGTATTCTGGTATCCTTTCCTCCATTGGAGGAGAATCTTCCAGTCCAATAAGATCTGGATATTTTAGACACACCTACGTTTCATCCAATCACACATTGGGGGCTTTCAAGTATCAACTGTAACATTTCCTACACATGTACAATTACACTAGTGATGCCATCTATATAACCAATAAGTCGAGGCCATGCGGTTTGGCTATAACATGCATTTTGGCCATGTAGCCACCCCAAAGAAATGCAGCGTGACCACTGGGTATGCTTGGTCTATAATAATTGACTTGCTACAATATATGTACATCTTATCTTTGGGATAACATTCCAAATTTATCACCCAGATGGCTTGCTTCATTGCTAAATGGCTTGCTTCATTGCTAAATGGCTTGCTATACCTCAATTAATTAGTCTTTTTGGTATGAAAATTGAAATACCATATTCAATTTGAATATTTAAAGATCACTTCGCTCTGTAGACCTTTTTATCAATAGCTAGACTATTGTGAAGAGATGCACAATAACGTTTCATGTTTAACATAGATGGCAGCACCAGTGACTGTTTGACATTTTTGTAAGTATACCTGAATCAGCTTAGGATTATGTACAAAATGAAATATATACACTTGGAGAATTATTATGCATCCTCATTACTCTAAATCTAAATCTAACCTATAACAATGCAGC